TGTTCAGATAACGAGGGAAATGTTTTCCAAGTTTTTTTCAATGTTTTGTACCTAGGCTCCTAAGCAAATATGGGAAGAGTACAGGCAGGCTGGCTCCTGGGTCAGGTTACCGCAAAGGGTCATGGAAGGGGCATGCGAAGCCAAGCGCAAAGCAAGCGAGGAGCGACAGACACGCGCGACGCGGAAAGGCACGGTTTTTCTGCGCTTTCCCCTGTGGTGCGTGTCTGGTGCCCCACGCTCGCTTCGCGCTTGCCTTCGCTTGCCCGAAAAACGCGAAAAAAAATAACGCCTGTTATGCAGGCTAGGTTTATGGTTAACGTGGTACGAGGCAAGGGGTTTTTATGTGATTAAGAAATTCTTGGAAATTCTTGCGCCAAATCAATCTCCAGTGCTGACCTTACTGTTGTTCTTCTTAAAAGAGTCGACAGAATTTGTTTTGAGATTTAATCGCTGCGTCTTCTTTCAGAATAATCAAAATCTTCAAGAACTTTACATTGGCAACAACCAGCTGACCAACATCCGGGAGATATTTAACCTAAAGGTAAAACATATTTATCTCAATTTATGTCTTGCCGGATTTTTGAAAAAGTTACCCCCAGATAGATCGCTTCCGTCAAACAGTTCTTTTTTTTTTCGGCCAAAGTAGCCATTATAAAAACTAAGAGTGCAACCATTGCTTTTTTCTCTTCTCCTCCTTTCTTCTTCCTCACTTTTTCTTTTTCTCCTTTCTTTTCCTTCGCTGCTTCGATTTTGGAGCTTATTGGGCGTCAAAACCCCGCCTTTTGGCCTTTTTCACTCAAATAGCGGCAAATTTCGTTACGTTCGTTATCACAAATTCGGCTAGATGTATAATTATCTTTCAGTCTTCCCTGTAAAGATGTATCAGTCAGTGATCCTCAGAATTAATACTTTATTTGTATTTTTTTCCTAGACCATACCTAATCTTCTTATCCTTGACCTCTGTGGTAATCCTACGGCTTCCGCTGGCCAAAATTACCGCTTGTTCGTTGTTTACCACTTGACGTCATTGAAAGCTCTGGACGGATTGGCTGTGGTAGGGTTATAGTAGAATCCTTGTTTACATTTTTTGCCTCATTAACATTTGCTTATCATTATCTGCTGAAGCTGATGTTATAAACTCTCAATATTGAAAGAGTAAAACAATTTCAGTTATCTCTAAAATTTTGAGCCCGACTTCTTCAATAGTTTCGGAGAAATTCTCTTTGAAAAACCCTAAACTTTACAAAGAATTCTGAATGTATGAGCTCATCAACGTTTTGCCACCCCGCATTTCGCAGTTTTGATTGCCTATATGTCCTTTGTTATTGATTGCAACTGGGGAGCTAAAACTTGCACAAACTGCTCGAATTAACCAACTCTTGCAACTTTTCAACCTAATCTGTATATACGGCGACGGCTTCTATGGGTTAACTCGTATGCTAATGACAAGACTGTAAACAATGACGTCAGTAAGGATTCGCCTATATGTTACAAAAACTTCCTTAGTTTGACTATTGGCCACATTGCTGCTGTTATTGTTTACACGTCATGTTAGTACGTGATCTTTTCATCAATCTCTGTTTTAAAGACTTTTTTTTCCTTCTATGCATCTCAGTTCCTTTCTTATTCTGTGTTTTGAAGGAAACATCAGAAGGCAGTCTTGCCAAGGATACATTTGGAGGAAGGTTTGTGACATTTCAGACAAGTGACTCAGTTTATATTGATCTCAATGAGAAGACTCTGATTCAAGCATATAGTTCGTCTTTCTACAGGCTTACTCCAGATTTCATCGCCGAGCGCCTGGGTCATGCAAACTTCTCAGAGCTAAGAGAACTTGATTTACCTCACTGTAGCCTAAGAACTGTGGATTTGGGAACCAAAGATGTGTTCATTAATTTGAGAAGGTTAGTCTCTCCACGATAACCCTCTTCCTCCCCACCCCACCCCCCTCCATCACCTTAGTCTCTAGAGACCTGAGCCCACAGTCAATCATTGCGTCTGTGTCACTGGGGCATTTCTTTCCCGAGTCGAGAAAACGAGGAAAGGCACTTCATCAACCTCGTATCCAGACATATCTCGTCCCGCTACTAAAGGGAAAAGCCCTGAGAAGTAGGTTACATTATCACTGTCATGTGCTTAGTTCAACCCAGGTCCTTGGCATTCTCTTCCTCTCGTGAACGAGCGAAAAGACGCGTGCAATATTGAAAACTGCCAACGTTCCTCGCCAGAAAGAATTACCAGGTAACTAGTTACAGTGGAACCTCGATATAACAAACCTATATATAACGAATTCCTCGGTATAACGACCGATTTTGTTTACCCCAGTAATGCGAAAATATGTGGAAAAGTACCTCAATATAATGCAACCTCGTTATTGCGAACGTATTTTGTCAGTCCCTTAGCACTTCGTTATAACGAGGTTCCACTGTAACTTAGCTAGTGGTGCAGAATTTGCAATTGTTTCATATAAAGTTAACGTTACTTTCTTTTTTCAGTGTAAACCTGGAGCATAACTCGTTGACCTCATTTGGCGGCCTTGTAAACCTCGTCAATCTAAAGGTAAAAGCTACCTGATATATATTTTTTGTTTCGTCAGTGTTTTAGAACAGTACCTTGCTTAGACGAAAATGGGAAGAGACGAGTTAAAAGAATGAAAATGAAATATCTTAGACCCTACTAAACGATATGGTTTTATCTATGTCCCTCTCAGGTCCTCTGTCTGAACCACAATCATGTCGAAAGCGTGATTGCAAAGCCGAAGGCAACGTCACCAGCGAACGCACCAAAGCGAGGCACTGACTTTTCCGTAGCATCAGAGATAACCAACCCGGAGAATTTCACTCCAGTTCTTCCTAATCTTGAAGTTCTACACCTTGGGTAATAAATACATAAATTATAGATTCAGTCAAGCCTAAAAGCGAAGCTCCAGTTAATAAATCTACAATTTAATTTAAACAATGTAATCATCGCAAAGCAATCCACTTAAAGTTGAGCCTGCGATCAGTTGAAGATTAGTGGCTTGTCAGCGGATAACTTCAACAAACACGTTATCTCGAAGGGTCGATACCTGAGCCCGCGATATGGTCGTGTAATTCTAGTTAGCGGATACCCTGTTTTGATGGCTGTCAATTGACGACAACATGGATGTGCAATATCAGATTGCAGGCTCCCACACTAGCTAGAAAGTCTGAGATTTTACATTGGTTTCCGTGTGATGCTGACGGACGGAAGGACGGACGGTCACGTGACTATCAAAATTTCTTGGATGGATAGATTTTCCTAGCTATGGAGCTTCGCCATTGAATGTCCTTCCTCTATCCGTAGCTTTCGAGTTGAAAGTAGTTGTCTTTATATAGTTTGACCAAGGTTTTAACCAGAAGGGATCTCTAGCCGTCCTTTGGACGGCCATTTTCGGAAGAAATACAAGGAAAACTCACTTAATCTCTTAAAATTTTAAGGGAAAAGATGCCTTCTGGACGGCTAGTTTTCAATGTCTGAGTTAGACCCTTGACTTCCAATTAATATTCGGTTGAATTAATCAAAATCCAGTTTATTTTAGTTATGACGGACATCCAGCAAAGATAGGTTACTCGAAAAGAGCGCGTTTTCGACTTTGTATTTGCAGTAACGTTGGGAAAGTTAACAACAAGATGTGAAAGGGTTGAACAATGTGTACGCAAATTCATTGACAAACTTAGACATCGACATTATGGAACGCCCCGTGTGTGGCTTTCGATTATAGTTTCTGAGGTGAACTGAAAAATAGATCCTACGTTCTTCGGCATATTCGTTTGCGGTCCTTTGTGGTTAATGTTTGAAAAATACAGATTAAAATTTTTGCGGTTAATGTTTCCTACAGACTTGTACGCTTTTTTCTTTTTACGACAGATACAACGGCATCACTGATATGGCCACCTTGCAGCTCTCTCGTCTGACTAATTTAAGAGCTCTTTTCTTACAAGGTAGGCTAAAAACTTTTAAAAGTTAAGTGATCAACTTTTTTCTATGTTAGGCCTTTCTTTTGTTGTACATGGCTTAAAATAACCTCCGTAGATAGTTAGCACTTCATCTTTAAACACGTGTGGGAATACTGTTGGATTCTGGGAGCTTGCGGACAATTCATCCGAGGGTCTTTCACACACCGCCACTTTAAAGCAGTGTTGAGAGGACCCTAGTTAATAAGTCACGTCACCGATAATTGTGCCGATGTGATGTGTACTTCTTCGGGATGGACGCGTCGAACCTCAGATCAGAGGTCGGCTTTCACGTTCGAACTTTGGATTCCGCACAGCAATCGTGTTGTTTAATGTGAATCCGTAGTCCATCTGCTACCAATGAGTGCCATGTCGCGTTATTCTTTCCTGTCTATTTTTAGATTTCTTTTCCCGCGGAAATTTGATGAATCGCTTTCCTCGCTAAATTCTGATGACTTTCGTCTCGAGGAGAAAGCTTTTTCCCTTTCTTCTTTCTGGTTCAGGTTGAGCCACTTGTCCCTGAATGCGTAATGTGACTTAGAGTCACACTTCGCCATCTGACATTACTGTTCTTTTCCAGAAAATCATACTCTGCTCTGATTGGCTGAGAGTTTTCTTGGCACAAAATAAAAATGTATAAATAGCCTGAATGTTTAGTACGCTATGACCCAAGCCTCATGAGAGAAATCGAGGCACTAGGTTAATAGGCTTCTATTTGAATAGAAACTTTTTCCATATTATCGTTGTCTCTTGTTTGGTAAGGCCCAGTCCACCGATTTGTCTTAGTCCACTCGGCCATGTATGGTTTGAGAGGGTGGCAGTTGGGGTGGATGGGGCAGTAACCTATTAGTAGCTAACACTCCTGGATGTTTCGTTCTTCTGTAACCGAGATAAACTCTAGCGGTGTGGACCTTCTAAGTTCAAACTGCGCCTTTGCTTTTATTTATGTAACTTTTATATAAAGCGCAAAACTGACGGGGAGCTAATTTTTTTTACAAAGTCGTATTATTGTTCTCTGTAGGAAATGATATTGGCAAAATAGAAGGACTTGAGGGACTACTAGAACTTCGAGAACTTGTTCTCGATCGAAATAAAATCAAGGTAATAATTTTCGAAAATAGAAATTTATTTATCCTATAGAGTCAGCGTCATGACCAAAAAAAGTATTTGTTTAAAAACAGCACTTCTAAGAAAACTTTTTTAAAAAATCGATCAGCTAAGGTATTACCTTGTAGTATATAGCATAATTTCTTTTAGACGTATAAAACACTTTAGAAGAGAGCCCTTATACGTTAGTGAGTATTCCCTGAAGAAGTCAAAGACTTTTCCCGTAAAAGACTGTTTTCTTAACGTGTGCAAGTTTTGGGGGCAAACACTTCCGTAATTGTTAATACTGGAAAATATAAAGTTATTTCAACAGTCAAGATATATATCTGCATCAATAGTTAAGCGCGATTGGAGCGCGGGTATTGTACCTCGTGTTCCATTTATAAAGAACGTTTAGGTTATGATTGCACTGTACCGGAGAGTTTTTCGTGCCGTGCAAAAAGCAACGACGCGGGGCGATACAAGTCGTTCACGCACATCGAACATCGTGCCGGCGCGGTTGGCCGAGAGGGCTTGGTGTACTAAATTCCAGTCTTAACTCCTAAATATTTACTTCCGTCTCAGTGGGTTCCAGTCCTCGCTCCCACTTATTTTCTTTCGCGGCGGACTGAATAGGTGTTCACATTGCACCAAAGTTTCACATAAAACCTATCCTATATGTGACGCTCCACTTTAGAGATCGGCGCCGCGCAGCTTCGCCCCGTTTTACAGAAATCGCGCCGAAATGACCGTTCTTATGTGTAAACAGAAGCCTTATTCGGTAAGGCTTTCGTGACGACATGAAAAGCTACCCTGCATAGTATGAACACCTATCCAATATGTGACTCTCCTCTTTAGGGATCGGCGCGACGCAGCTTCCTGCCGTTGCAGAAATCGCGCCGAAATCACCGTTCTTGTGTGTACAGAATCCCTACCCGGTATGGCTTTTGTGCATACGCAAAAGCCATCTTGTATAGTGTGAACGTAGCGTTGAGGAAAGGTCCGCCCCTGATTGGAATGTACCTATAGCGCCTGGTATTTACTTAAATTTGCCTATGGTTCCCGCAGGGTATCTCAAGCACGTCATTTGTGAGTCAGTGGAATGTCACCGAGTTACACATGGAAGAAAACAGGATACGGGAATTAACTAACCTTGAGCCGCTTCAAAATCTTCAGCGGTTGTATCTGGGAATGAACCGTATTCAAGTAAGTTACCTTCAAAATTGCCACCTTGTTCATGGTGGTGTCGAACATACATTGTCAAACAAATAAGCCTTTCTTGATGTCTCTTCTTCAAGTTGAGGCTTCTTAGAGAGTAATTTTGCCCTCGTTAGGTACAGGCTTTACGTTTCTCTCTGCAAACCTTGATCTTATATCTTTTTTTGTTTAATTTTCTACCCTAGGACATAGCTGAGCTGGAAAGGCTAGAATGTTTGAGGCACCTTGTTGAACTGTCTGTTATTAATAATGCGGTGAGTTTTAAAAAAATTGTGTTTGTTAGTTTTTCCACCTTCAAAATCCCCACTCTTAAGTCATCAATAAATACTTAAGTAAGTAAATATGAAAACCGATCTCAAATCTTTTCCACCTTTGACTTAACGCCATCTTTTTCTTCACTTGATGTAATCAGCTATAGTCCGTAGTTCTAGGAGACCTAACCTCTCATAAGCTTCTATAGTTTCTGTTAGGTCTCCTCGCCACTTCTTTTTTTTAATTTATCTTATATTTTTTGTAATTTCTATTATTGTGTGGGTAATAAATAAATAATTACTAGCCTGCGTGCTGGGCGTTAAATGGGAAAGAGGAAGGGGGAATTCAGGGACGTGAGAGAGCGAGGGGGGAGCGAGGAGGCGGGAAGGAAACCCCTCGCCCTCTCGCGCGCCTGAATTCCTCCTTCCTCTTCTCCTGTTAACGCCTGTCATGCAGGCTAAATCCCTACTTAAGGATCGTAGCCATGGACTGACAGGTGAATTACAAATAGCAGAGTAGAATTCGTATAATTTCAACCATCAGAGTATAACTGCATACCAGTTGTAAATGAATAACTGCAAGGGACCGCAAGTGAATATGCTGCAGAACGTAGGATTTAAAGAAGACCTGGTCAACAAAAATATACCAGCTTTGCAGATTTCAATGCGTACGATTTGTTCGATTTTTGCAAGCTTAAGTCGATACGGAGACCCAACTTATCAGATGTTCGAGCCGAAGTGGTCAACGGTTCAGTTTGTTGTGGGACTGAGTTATACATGTGTGAGACAAGCGTATCGGCAATTGACATACGTAAACCAATCCACGGTCTGGCCAGTACATACGTACATACATGTGTGTAAGTTATCGTAATAGCGGTCATTCAACTTCTGATTTCAGCTTTAAAATTAAGTTATTTCGTGACATCAGCTTGTTAGCTTGTTATTGTGCCTCCTTAGACAACATCTTGTTTTGTTCCTGTTTAGTTACATTTCTCATATAATCCTCAGGTTACCCGTCGTCTTCTTCACCGGCCGCTACTGGTATACCGCATGCCCAATCTTCTGTGCATTGATGGGATTCCTGTGTCAGGTGACGAGAAAGCCAAAGCTGAAATGTACTTCATCGAGCAGCAGGTTAATAACAGTAGTAAGAAGTTTATTGCACACTCCCCTGCGGGGCTTTTCAGTGATACAAGGACAAAGCTATATATAATTCATTATCAAGTATATATAAAAATAACCCTTAAAAAAGAAAAAATAATAAAATTACCTAAGTTTCCGTGTAAAATTCTTATGATACAATAAAAGGTTAAAACCTACGAAACGCTCGCGGGATCAAGAAATTTATGTAACAATATTTGCCTCAGTTTCTGTTTAAAGTCCCTATGATTCTTACTTAATTTGAGGTCTTATCTAGGCTGTTCCACAAACAGGTTGCTATTCCTGTTTAATATTTGTTTGCCCTACTCATCGATCAAACCTACTCTTTCATTATACCTTCTTTTTTTTGCAATCTATTCTCCTCTCGCCGAGATTTCCCCCCTTCTGATTTCCCTGCTCTTATTAATGCTGACATATGACCTTTCACGTGACTTTCCTTGGCAGGGTGGAATGCAAAATATGACGTCTGCTTTAGAACCCAGTCTCCCAGGAATCGTGACGACGCGGTCCCAGGCCCCCCTTCGGGTAGGTTGCTTAGAATGTTTCTATTGAAGACTGTCCAGCGTTTTCACTCAGTCATAATTAAATGAATTAGGGTGCACATAGGTACAGAAAATGAGAAACCCTTTAGAGCGTTGAGTGGTAGGGTTGTCGCGTTTTCGTGGCGCCACCAAAAGCTATCCAGTATAATGTGAACGTCGAGCGAAACGCTTGAACGACGAAAATAACCACGCGCGTAGTTGAAGGTGCGAAATAGGAGAGGCACCCTCGCTTCTTGCGTGACACGCGTGAAACTTAACTAACCGGCTTTTTTGAAAGAATAATAAGAGACTGCTGCCAGTCTACAGAGCTCAGCAAGATGGGAACCAGCACGGTAGTGTTAAAGATATTTTGTGACTCATTGTCACAGCTAAAAATCTTACACGGACCATCTCTAACAACTTGTCCTTAGAAATTGTTCTTCGCATCTTTATTCCTTATTTTATGCGTTCACTTGCTTTCTTGTATGTCAGGTCACCACAGTTCAACTGAATAACAACACGGATCGTAACTGGGGAACCACAGCACTAAGAAATGATTTTCCTAATGGCACCTTATTAAGGACCTTTGAACAACAGCAAGAGAAAGGTAAAACGAGGATAAACACCAGTATTTTTGCGCAGAAATCGGTCACGGTTCTGAAGGCCTATATAGCAGAAAAATCCAGCAAGGAAGCTCAGGTCAGTCGTTCAGTGCAAAAGAGCGAAAAACGAAAACGAGCGGTGACGAAATGAGCGAGCGAAAAACTGCGGAAGAGAGAAGGGAAGAGAAAGGATCTTTTCAAGTACATTCAATTGATCAAGTAAGGTTTCTGGGAAACTACCCACCTACCCCTCCCCTAACCCAACATTATCACTTACTTCTCACTTAGGGCAAAATGTTGGGTTAGGGGAGGGGTGGGTGGTCAGTTCCCAAGAAACCTAAATTGATCCCATTCAATCGGCCCACTACTCCGACCACTTCGTGAAAAACCGTTTCTCGAGTCAAAATTTTAAATGTCAAAATGTGCGGTGTAGAAGGGTTTTACCTGCTCGACATGTTTGTTAGACTCTGCGCGCGCGAAGCAAAATGATTGACGTAAGTCATACGTCACATCTTTTACACATTTCACCCCACACTTTCTTTGCATATATATAGCGCGCGCGGAATATTTCCTCACCCCTGATGATGCCGTTGATTGGCGAAAGCCTAGATTTTCCATTTTAAACAGCAGTTTAAGGCCTCACTAGAGCAGTTTTATACTATGCTGCCGGAGGACAGCATGAGCAGATTATTGACGTAAGTGTTGAAGTAAACTGTTGCCATTGGCTAATCATAGGGTATACCAGGAGCTGGTATACTGGAATGAGCCATTGAAAACAGTGCTTACAGGTTCGAATACATTGTCTGTCCCCAGCCCCCTTGCAGTTTTCGCGCAACTTTTCTCGATCCGCTTTCTTCACTATGTTGGATTCTGGAACAGGCTGGGAAGCACTAAAATTCACTCCCCAGGCACGGTCTCCGAATATGTATTGCCCGGT